TAAGGGTGAGAAGTGAGCGCACAGTCCACCTGATGGTAAGTAGTTGCTGTGGTCCATAGACATCTACATTTATCCCTCAATAAAGAAGGCTAAGATGGAATACCTCCTTTCCGGTAAAATGGGTTTCCGGTTCTCTACACTCACCATACGAAACACAGCAGCGTTAAGCTACCGATTTACGCTGGTATTCTGTGAGAGCGTGGTCCTCGTAGTATTTATTGTATTACAGTACAAAATTGTTATGAATGTTAAAAACGCTCCAGCATTATTCATAGGCTCCTAAGCCACGAATAGTTTCCACTTTCCACATGTCTTTTTCTTTAACGTCCTTTCCAAGTTCACCGCTAGAATAAAGTAAATTATATATGAAACTATATATTTACTGTGGCTAAACATATGCCTTTCTAAAAATACGTCACTTAGTTTGCATTTTCGGAAGATTTGCTCATAGTCGTTGATTACTAATAAGCTAATAACATACCAGATATCATAACAGTATTGCCTACAACTGTCTGACAAATTCAGGTGTATTGTTTTGCCGCAGATTTTCTGCTCGGTCTTGAAACCGTCCGTCCGGCAATTAGCAAAGAGCACTGCGTGCAAAGAGGTTGGCATTTGAAGTAAAAGTTAGCATGTTATATTTTACACTCCACCACTCTACACTTTCCAAGTGTCACATTCCAGTTATAGTTGTTAAAGTAATTATTATTTTTTTATTTTGGCAATAGTATAAACTGCCATGTATTTAGTTGAGTTTATTTATAGTTTTCGTAGGTATGTATGTTATACGATATTTTCGCAAATTGTGAACCGATTTTAATGATTCTTTTTTAATTAAATAGGCTTTACCTCAAGGATGATCCCATTAAATTTTGAAAAAAATTCCGCCCCCAAGGATGGAAAATAGAGGAAGAATTTCATATTGGAATAATGTTTAATGAATTTCATTCGCAGATTGAGAACCGATTTTAATAATTCTTTTTTTTTTTATTAAATAGGTTATAGTTCAAGTGTGGTTATCTATAAAGTTGGAAAAACATCCACCTCTAAGATAGCAAATTAATAACTTCTTTTTAGCAATTTGAAGTCGGTTTTTGCTTTTTGCTAAAGATTATAATTATTAAACATTTAATCTCCATAAGTTTGAGTCATGTTCATTATCAAATAACAGAAAAAAGTGGACCGAAATTTGTTCCTTGTGGCACTCTGGTTAAGGCGCCATTGAAAATAAGCTGTTGGTGAAATATAAACAAAACCTACAATAAAGACTAACATATATTCCCTAATGGAGCTAGTAAAATGGAATGGTTGACAAAATCGTAGACTTTTAAAAAACTTACATACCTATGTTCAATTTGTATATTTAGTCCGTAGTTTCAAAGAATACACGAAATTAATATAATATATAATAAATATATTAACAGTTTGCCAATACTTGTGCATTACTACGCTAGATAGCCGAGTTGGTCAATTAGAATAAGGTGTATAGATATATATTCTAATAAGATTTTCTCTTTTTGATTTGTTGTTGATTTGTATGTACATCACCGTGTAGTGGCGGTGTAAGAATATCCATTACACCATATCATCCCGCGGGTGTCGTTAGAGGCGGCAGAGGGAAATAATGAGATGGGCAGCAGCATCTTCCTAATAACTACTCAAAATAAAAACTGCCGTTCCCAACCCGCTTGCCCAGCGCGGCAACTACGGCATATGAAAAAGTCAGTTCTAAAAAATAAAATCAAATAGTTGTTAACAAACAATCTTTGGGGGAGGTGAATGTTCAGCAGTGGACTTCGATAGGATCATGTAATGATAATGATAATGATGGGGGAAAAATTGTTCACCGCGCTCACCCGTATAAATTGCCTTTAAGTTGATTTTATAACTACGAGTATATTAAAACGCGTAGAAGCCGTAAAAGATCGTTATGAAATCTTTAAGACACTGTTTTGTCTTTGACTAAATATAAAAAAAACTATGGTTTCCAACCCGCTTGTCAAGCGTGGCAACTATGACAAATATCCCCCTGTGAGGCAATCTATGGGGAAGGCCTATGTTCAGCGGTGGGTTTTGATAGGCTGTAACGGTAACACTTACGAACATGAGAATATTCCTCGTTCCTTAAATTAGACGTCTATACACGAAAAAAAATCCGGCAAAAGCTTTCTTTCTTCTTTTTTGTAGAAAATATTTCTCCAATAGTTTTATATTTGTAAAAATATAATGGATTTTGTATTTCATACTCTTTTATCACGTTGGTATAATTTTTTCATCACATTCTGATAATTTTAAGGTGACCAAGAGTCTTAAATTTCATCATAAACTGCGCAGAGGCTTAGCAATGAGTTGTTGCGCTGGAGGCCGCGGGTTGGTATCCCGCACGGAACATGTATTTGTATGGCCTACAAATAATTATACCGGGTCTGGATGTTTATCCTCGTGCAATCTATGTTTGTAAACTACTAATGTGTTTGTAACAACTAGTGTGGGGGTAACGTTGTTAAAAATATATTCTATGGAAGCTATGGAAAACAAAAAAAAATATATTGCGAAGGACTGTAATAAATTATTTGATATATTTATATATTTGATAGATTAGCCTTTGTCTTGATTTTGTCAACTTCGTTAAGTAAGTACTTCTAACATGTTATTAAATATAAAATTATTTATTAGGAACGCTTTTTTATAGGATAAGAGTGACAAACGAGCACACAGTCCCCCTGATGGTAAGTAGTTGCTGTAGCCCATAGATATCATATATCTATCCTCGATTACGAAACAAAACGCATATGCGTCGTCACCCGTGTGGACTAACATGGAATGCCTTGTTTCCAGTAAAAAGGGTCCCCGGTTCTTTACACTCACCATACAAAAGACAGCAGCGTTAAGCTGCTATTTTACGCTGATATTCTATGAGAGCGTGGCCCTTTACCGGTTGAGCCGACGCAATCGTGCTACAACTATACAACTAATATAACTGCAGCATGACTCTACCACGTAAAAATCCGCGTACCTACATTATATTCTCAAAAAAATACAGAAATACAACTGTCAATAGTTATTTTTATTCCAACAACCCAAGGAGTCGTTATTACAAATAGCTTTTATTGCTCACTTTTGCTATAATATGATGGTTTCAAAACGCTTTATCGCTAAACAGTCTGTGGTAGAGTCGGTATAAACTGCCAAAATCAAAATGAAAACAAGAAAATTATGCTTTGATGCTTTTTCAATGTAATTTTATGCAAAGAAACAGACCACTTAGAAACGTCCGGTATTAAAAATAAGGGAAATTATATGCGATAAAATCCGTAAAAATTGTTTTATTCAGAAGATAGTTAGTTTGCCAGTTACTTAAGGTGTACCCCATTGCCAGTTTTTAAAAGTGTGAATTTAATATATTCTTAAATAACATCTAACACTTATATTCACTATATTAGGTTACTGCCACAGAAACACAAAATCCGGACCCGATAGGTGGCGTTGTGTTCGAAAATTTAATAAATTTTATAGTTACACTGTGAAAAATTAACGGAATAAACGTATCACTATCAACTCTATGAGATATATGTTTTTAATATACAGATAGACTAAATATTGACCGACTACGAGGTCATCCTGAATTTTAGCATCTAATACTAGGTAGGTAATAATGGTTGAACTTTCTTGATATGCATCATGTTTATTTAATAGCAGTTTTGATAAGCATATACTATAATAACTGCTTTTTATTTGCACTTAAAATTTTAGTCGGTCGTTTTAGCAGTTTTATATTTACTATTTATATCTAATATATAAAATTCTCGTGTCGCGGTGTTTGTTACCAAACTCCTCCGAAACAGCTCAACCGATTTGTATGAAATTTTGTGTACATATCGGGTAGGTCTGAGATTCGGCCAACATCTATTCTTCAAACCCCTAAATGATAAGGGTGACCCACCCCTAAATATTTATTTATTTATTTGACAAAAAAAATATTTTTATTTTATTATGATTTAGTATTAAATAATACATAAAACTTCAAATTTTCACCCTTCCACGATCAACCCCTGTTTTTAATCGCGATTTTTAAAACTAAAAAATATTTCCTAGAAATAATGTACTTATGGCAAAACAACGTTTGCCAGGTCACCTAGTACGAGTATGTACTATATTTTTACTTACTTGAAAGCCGTCGGATTTACTGGATATTATCAGATACGTACAGCCAAAAAATTATCTTTTACTAAAAGTTATCATTTAGTTTCTAACACAAGCTTTAAAAAAGTTATATTACTGAGCTGGCAATTGAAGAGACGATGCTCTTAATAAATAAATCCAAACAATTTTCTTAAACTTTTGCTTTTATTTAAATTATGTAATATTTTTTAATTCAATCACTCATTACAGCCTACCTGAAGTTCACAGCTAATATTTGGTGATATTTGCCATAGGTGCCACGCTTGGCAATCGGGTTGGCAACCGCAGTTTTTATTATACTTAATTAAAATTTTATCAGGAACATTAGGTCGCCACTAAACGCTCATTTTAAAATAGGCGCTTGAAAATGATGATATTATTATAATGACATACTACATCGCTATATTAGGTATGTTTATTATATTATCTAATATTAATAAATAGACACGTATTAAAGAAAGCCTCCAAGTATCAATTTCTGAACAATTTTTTTTATTACTTTTAACTAATTTGTCAGTAGATAAATATTTTTCGCAGCTGGTGTTTTTTGAATATTTTATGACAAACTTTTGAGTAACTGTATTTATCCAAACTGCTAAAATCAATCCGTAATTCAAATACTGACTTTTTTTAGATAATAGCAAGTTGATAGTTAAAAATTCAAATTTATTATTTAAGCACCAACTTAGGCCTAATTGCCAAGTTAAAAACTGTGTTAAATTAAACTTAAGGCAAATTTAATGCGGATTATCTTATTATGAAGGGTGATTGGCTCACAAATTATATTTGGAGGATAATAAAAGTTAGGCCTATCTGACCGATATGTGTCGGCGAGCGGGCGGCGGGACTGCGCGGCTCCGCGGCGCTCCGGGCCATGATGGCGGCGATGGAGAAATCGGTCGCCCTGGTCTTGCCCTCCTCCGCCACCATCCTGGAACCGGGCCAGCACCCCGCGCTTTCCACATCCATCAACAGCCCTCAGTGATCAAGCGACCATTTCATCGGCAACGTCCGACCCATCGTCCACCATTCTTGTCCGAATTAATACACCAACATTCTTAGTTTGAAACCACTTGCACACTGCTAGTTACGCAATTTTTTTTTTAATTTAGATAGATTCGCATGTACGTAAACGCGCGTCGTAGTGCGTGCCCTCCGAGAGCGCACATAAACGATAACGGTTCGGTGGCCGAACGCGGACTGAGCGCGTATAGAGGCGCGCGGGGCGGGGCGGGGCGCGGGGCGTAGCCACTTCCCCATACAACCACTGGCGGCCCTACCCGCTGTCACCGCTCCCCACACCAATTGCACCCTTTGTAAGCTCATAACAATATCGCATTATTATTTAATTTGAATTCCATATCATATATCCAATTTTTGATAGAGCTATAATACCTAAGTATATTACGTTACAGCTAAAACATTTATTTTTGTTCCTCTTTAATCACGTAAGCAAATTTTTACTGAAATATTAATAATGTTTAATTACACTTTTAATATATTTTCTTTAAAATGTCTATGAAATGAAAGCGGTAGAATCAGTAATATAAACGCGTGCGCAGTCGTCGATCGCACCGCCCATTACATGATCACTAGATCAGAGCGAGAGGGCGCTATATTATCAAACCCAACACGGTAACGTCCGAAAGGGATAAACCTATATCGCTATAACTCGTTTTCGTATTGCACAAATGAGTTTTGCAAAATTTAACGGGAAATACTGTGGCAAAAACGATTTAACGAAGCTACTTGTTAATTTTGTTTAACAATCCACTCACTAGCACGCTATTTTCCGCTGTAAATGATAGATTATAAAATCATCAATCATTAAATTGGACAATTTAATGTACGGTTATACTCAATTGAAAAAGGAAACGAAATACGTACATTCGTAAGAGCAATTTCAAAAACAAGTTTGTTCTTTTTAACTTTTTTAAATAATATTTTATAATTGTAAACAATATTGAAGTAATTTTTTTATTTTATTTAAAACTGGTTTTCGTTTTGTAACAGACATAACTATTAAATATTAACCAACCATGACCACCAATGACATCGTACCTACTCTATTAACGTCTACCAAAATGTCCAACCCTTTAAGTAAATAATAATATTTTTAGTTATCGTATCTAACCAGTTTTTTAAAGTTTAAAACAAAGTAATTCCTACAAATAAAATAGACGAACGATGACATCTTTAATTCAGAGGCTTATTCTTTTTTTTTTTATCAATTATTAAATTATAAAAAGTACTTTAAATAAAAATACCTCTTTATTTTGTCATTCTAGTTTTAAAAATCTATACCTATATCTACCTATAATAGATTGAAACACTTGTAATACTGGGTTCTTTAATTAATAACTAAGATCATATTTAGTCGCATCCAGGATAAGAATTATTTTGTGAATTAGAAAATGAATAGTGTAGTAATTATTGATGTGAGTATTTTATCCAATAGTGGAATAGGAATGACACTGCTTTATAAATAGGGATATTTCAGACAGACATTTCACACAACCACGCCATTTCAGACAAATTTAAAAATAAAAACTAGCATCACAGAAATCATAGGAACTTAATGAGAAGATTGATATGTAATGTTATTATGATATATTATATCATTGGTTGTTATATTTTTGTATTTAAAAATTACTTATCACACTGTACACGATGAACTCTTAAATTACTGTTTTGTTTTCAATGAAATTATGGTACACTATGTGCAGTTTGACCCAACTTGAGAGATAGAAGAGTTTTTATCCCGAAGGATTTTTTAAAGGACAATGGGTCGTCGGAGAGGATAGAACAACGTCTGCCTGGTTAGCTGGTTTATTTTATGAAATTGAAGCGACAAACCAACTTGCAGTCTACCAGAGCGGTGTGGCTCTTACAACTAACTTCAAACGAAGGAGCCTACAGATTGGTTGTCACCTCTGAAGACTAAGATATAATGCCTCACATCCTGTTATTATATTGGCTCTTTATATCCTTCATACCCGAACACATTTTATACGTGGTAGAGCCATACTGCACCTGTATTAGTAGTATAGTTGTAGCACGAATGGGTCGGCTTGACCGGGAAAGGACCACGCTCTCACAGAATACTAGCGTAAAATAGCAGCTTAACACTGCTGTGTTTCGTATGGTGAGTCTAGAGAACCGGAGAACTTTTTTTACTGGAAAACAGGCATTCTATCTTAGTCCTCACGGCTGACAACGTATCTGCATTTTAATTCGCAAACGAAGATAGATGTAGATGTCTATGGGCCACAGCAACCATTTACCAGGTGGACTGTGTGCTCGTTTGTCAACCTTATTCTATAATAAAACGTAGGAGTGCACGCTTGGTGGTACTCTAAGTAGGTAATAGAACCCAGACGGACGTCTCGAAAGAGTCCTCCCACCTAATGTACTGAATGTTTATTAATGACATTTATTCAATCCACTATGCTCAATGACCTCAATAGTGTCTCCCAACGGATAGGTCTTAAGATGAACATGGACAAAACAAAGATTATGTTTAATGTTCATGTCACACCTATGCCGGTAGTTGTTGGGAGCACTAAGCTCGAAGTTGTTGACGATTATGTTTACCTGGGACAAATAGTCCGACTAGGTAAGTCCAACTTCGACCGAGAGACCTCTCGGTTGAATCAGTCGATTGACCAATCGACGGATTCAACTCGGCTGGGCAGTGTTCGGGAAGCTACGACACATTTTCTCGTCAGACATACCTCAAAACCTTAAAACGAAATTGTACAACCAGTGCGTGTTGCCAGTGATGACTTACGGAACTGAGACGTGGTCCTTCACAGCTGGCCGTATGAGGAAGCTCAATGTCGCTCAGCGAGCTATGGAGAGGGCTATGCTCGGAGTTTATCTGCGTGATAAACTTAGAAATGAGCATATCCGCAGTAGAACTAGAGTAGCCGACATAGCCCAACGGATTAGTAAGCTGAAGTGGCAGTGGGCCGGCCATATAACTCGAAGAACCGACAACCGATGGGGAAGAAAGGTTCTCGAGTGGCAGCCTCGTACCGGTAGGCGAAGTGTAGGGCGACCCCCCACGAGATGGAGTGACGACCTGGTCAGGCATGCGGGAAGTCGATGGATGCAGGTGGCTCAGGACCGTGCTTTGTGGCATTCCTTGGGGGAGGCCTATGTTCAGCAGTGGACTTATGAAAGGCCGTAATGATGATAATGATGATTGCGATAGCTATACAACGAAAATTTTGAATATATCGGAAGACAAGGTCTTGATCTTTATTCTAGACTAGCGATCCTCCCTGCTCTGCCTGATGCCCTCGCACGGATGTTTTCTCGATCCCAACAACAGCTTCACCTACTGGGTCCAATTGTGTGAGACTAACGGGTATCAATTGATTTATATAAGGATATATATATATATATATATATATATATATATATATATATATATATATATATATATATATAAATATATATATATTTAAAAACGTTACCCACACACTAGGATTTTCTCCTGTATCGTGGCAGTTTACAAATAGATACAAATTGCACAAGGACAAACATCCAGACCCGGAACAATTATTTATAGGCCATACAAATACATGTTCCGTGCGGGATTCGAACCCGCGGGCCCCAGCGCAGCAACTCATTGCTAAGCCACTGCGCCACGGAGACGTCAGATATACCTAGTGGTTTTTGTTTTTGATAAAATGTTTTAATTTTATATGTACCTACTTACGCCTTATTTATTATAATATCTTATAGGATATATATGTAACATCAACAATAGAGAAGAACATAAAATCAGTAAGGTATAACTTAGATAAGAACTTAGTAAGATAAATTGAAAATAAGATAAAAGAGAAATCGAGATAGATTATTACTAAAGTTTATATTTCTTATTAAAATAAACAATTAAACCCTTCTAGAAACAGTAATCCATAGTAATATATGTATAGTATCAGACGTTGGTACTACACCTTCCAAGACTGTAGAATAAGCATTTCCTACAAATCTGGATGTCCTAAGTGTACTTTGATGAAAAATAATAGGTAGGTACCTACAATGCTTTCTTATGTTTATGCGAACACTACACGTTGAAATAAAACTAGTATGTCACGGAATTTATCGCGTACAATAACTTATTTTATATTTTCCACGTTTCGAGTACTTTACAGCACCCATTGTCACTGGACTAAGAACACAAAAGTCTCTCTACAGTCTGTGAACACGTACAGGATCGTCATCGTCATCAGACGTCAGATTTGATAGACCACAAATCCTCGCTAAAGAACACTGATTTCTTTCAAGGATGATTCCCGAGGAGGATTAAAAATCACCCAAATTTGAATAGAGAAGATGGCTGGGTGCTGCTATCTGTTTGGGATCCTGTAATTAATAAAATTAAATCCCATTCCCAAGGATTCAAGATACTGTAAGTTCATACTGCATAGATAGAATCAAAAATTACTAATTTTAATCTGAAGGTAGCCGTTTTTAACAGTGCTATTGGGACGTCGAACACCTTAGTTCCCCTGTGACCATGGGTGCTGCAAAGTTCTCGAAACTTCGGGAACATTGTACTTGTTGAAATAAAAACTCTAGTTTTATTTCAACAATTTTAATGCATTACTCGGTTCGGTAACAACATATTCAATCAATCAATGGATACAGTATATCGAAGTCCACTGAACATCGACCTCCATCATAAATTGTCTTATAAGGGGAATATTCGATATGGTTGCTACGCTTGGCAGGCGGGTTGGAACCGCAGTTTTTTTTTAATTTTCTACTGATGCGAGTAAAGTTGTAAACTTACAGTAGAATTAATTACGGTTCACTTGAAAAAGAAAGATGATAGATCAATCGGCTTCACTCCGAGTAGTTATGTGGCAATTAGTATATTCCTACACACCTGGCAGGTAATCATTCTAAACGACTCTACATAGAAGTAGATAAAAAAATAATTCATTTGCATGTAA